CAAAAATTTGGTCAGTAGTCCAGTCTTGAGGTCACGAGGGCATGAGTGACTTGTTGCGAGTTTCTCCCGGTTCAGGTAGGGACGCAACTGGTGCACCAGGCGAACCTGGGCAAATGCCCCCCTGGTCACAGCCGACAAATGGTGTTCTAACGTCAGCTGTGGGTCCAGGAGGACTCCCAAGTTGCGAGCCCTGTCTGAGGGGCGTAAAATTTCACCCCCCAGCCTGAGTGATGGAATACTAACCAAATTTTTGGGAGGGAAACACAACAGCCACTTCATTTTGACTGAACAAATTAAAGTATATGTTGTTTTTGTTCTTGGCCAGGACAAGTAATAAATTTTCAAAGACAGTAAGCCATAGTAAAACAAATCAAACTTCCTCTGTCCTCACTCTCCCTTTAAAAAAGCAAGCAAAAGAATATAAGGAAGTCTTATTACTTAATATGCCATAACATCCCCAGTGGAATGGTGCTGAGAATGGCTTATATAGAGAATCACAAAAGTTTTAAGTTCAGTCAAGATTTTTGATCCATGTATTGTCCTGTATAGCACTGTGTAGTACTTTGTGCTTCATCCTTCTTTGTAGTTGAAGTTTTAAGTTCCCTTTGATGGACTTTCAGGGACTCTTGGCCCCCTCTTCGATTTCATTGACAAATCAATGAATTGAGTCTACAAGAACAAGCTACAGATACAAACAATGTTTTCTCTACTTTCTTATGGAAATAAGCAACTTTTCATCCTAGTTTGTTGCAATCCTGCTTTATCTCTTCTCTTTGCCCATAAAATCAAATCACAGTTATTTTAGATGAGAGAAAATGGTGTATGCTGGGTTGCCACAACCTGGTATCAGCCACTACCAAGCTTTGTGTACTGAGAGTAGGAAGAAGAGGGAATATAGAGAAGGATGAGACAAAATCCAGGACTTGTGTCCATTTATTGTCATAATATTGCATATACTGTAAAAACACCCTTACGTTTGCCAGGGCTTATTTTGTGGAACTCCTAACAAATATCAACCTACTCTCCCTCCCCCCTTTCAATAAAAGACAAATTTGAATGGGATATATAAGGCAGCTTGAAACTTTTGTCTGCAATCTGTTTTTTCCCCAAATCCAAATACTACTATTGTCAAAAGGTCCAATCATATTCTTCCTTCTTCAATCTTTTCAATTTTGTAATATTTATATCACATTTCAAAGCCTTGAGGACCCTACTTACTGTTGTCCCGGTGATTTTTTTTTCAGATTTGCTATTAAAAGGTATTTTTTAGAAGTGCATTTTCTTTCAGTATCTCCCAAATCTGTTACACCTGGTGGTGTTTGAGCAGAGGGCCACGGCTCTATTCTTATGGTTTTAAAAGCAATAATAGTTTGGGAATACTGGGAAGTACCCCAAGGTTGCACATCAAGTTCCAGATGTTAGAGACCACTTTCCTTGCTTCTCTGCAAGATCATATAAAACTATGAAGCGCATAAAAATGTCACAAAATGTACTAGGGGTGGCAAGAATACATGATTTAAGTTATCACTTTGGTTCAGCTTCATTAGTCTTATAGAAAACAAACATGAAGTTTTCATCTTCAGCTGGCTTTGTTTTTAAATTTTATTCTTGCTATTATGAAAATTAGGAACATAGTAGTGGTGAGAGGTTTTCTTCAATGCAGCAGAAAAAGGGGGAACCCAGTTTCTTTAATATGAAGAATTGTTTTGGAATATAGAGACTGTGGGCAGCAAAGATGTTTACTGCATATACTGTATTTAGAGATATGAAAAAGACTGTATTCAGTGTTAAATCACAACAAACTCTATTGGCCTAACAGAACAGTTCTTCAGATCAAATGACAGGATTAACGCTGGATTGCTTCAGTTCCCTCTGATGGTTTCCAAACTTTGTAAAGAAATGGGTTAGCTTTGTTTTCACTAATTGTAGCAGGCAAGAGTGGATAACTTGTTGCAATCAATTTTGAGAAATTAAGATGACCACAATAAATAGCAGTAGCTTATTCTGTGGTCTGACGTACAGGAAGTATTTGTGTCTACTGAGTAAATGTTTCAATTTTCCAGATGACAGAGCAGAGAAAGCAAAAACAGCGTATTGGTCTCCTAGGACATCCTCCTATCAATGTGAACCCACAACAACCAGCATAAATTGGATGGGTGGTTCGTCTCCCCATTGTATTTCCTTCCTTCATACCAGAGTTGAGATCCAGTTCTTAAAGCTGCTTCGATGTATTCCCAGTTCATGTAAATAAACCTGATTTTTTTATACTGTATGTATAGCACTGCTCTGAGAAAGAAAGGAGCTTATAAATATGGGCATATTATGAGAGGAGGATTACATTTGTACTTTCAAAATGTGTTTTTATAGGAAGAAAGGCACATCTAATTTGCACTTGAAAAAAAAGGATTTATGTCTAAAAGAATACATGATCTGTATTTTGTATTTAAAACCTCAGATAGCGAGTATTTATGTTTTATACAATTGTGCAATATGAATTATGCAATCACACTAGTTTCTTTAGGAATGTATCCTAGAGGGGGTGCACATTTTTTAATCTGGTGTCATCTTACTCCATTTGCAAAACAGCATCAAGTGTCCACTGATATGGGCTGCTGCCAAATGCTGTTCCTAGTGCGGTTTACTTCTCCAGGCCCAATTCCCTGTTTGATTTTTTGTTTGTTGGTTTGGTTTGGTAAAATACAGTATTTGAAATAGTTTGAAGCACTGTGGCAATAGAGCCTTATTTTATTCCAGCCAACATTGATCGATCTCCCTATTTTAAAACAAAGGTGTTTTTTTTCTTCAAAATCTTATTGAGCTGATTCTTCGATCATGGTACTGGAAAAGTTAATCCAAACATTAATTAATGAATAAAACTTGAAGGGAATCTTTTGTTTTGTTATGACAGATTATATCAGGCTGGTTCTCAAGTCTGGTAGTCAGGGTAATCTTCTAAAATACTTTTCTTGGTTTTGGTGTCGTTTTGGTTTAGAAGAACCTAGAATAATGTAGATCTATCCGTCTATCATCTGTACATTTTGTTACTGTATTCCAACAGAGATACATTTCCTTCAGTTATACTTTGTACCAGTTAAAAATAAACTTGGCCTTCTAGGATCCCTAGCTGAGCACTGATTTTCCAATACTTGTGAAAGAGCCACTAGATATAGATTATGCTTTAGTTTTTCTTCACACTTTGTTAATCTTAAAAGATTATATAAATATATATATATATATATATATAAATGTCATCTAGTTTTGTACATGATCCTCAGAGATTACAGAAGCAATCTCTGTTTTTAATAAGAAGCAGGGAGGTGAGTGCTTATTAAAGTTTGAAAATGCAAAAATATAGATATTTAAATAAATGATAAAATAATATGTACAGAGTTCCAGAGTGACAGCTTCATTCCTTGCAAGAAACTTGAATTTTCTTTTCAGAATAAGATTTGGTGAAAAGAGCATCCTCGAATCAGTGTGGTTTGTTAGTTTTCGTATTTCCATCTATATTATTTTTATAAATAATTCAAATTGGCAACATACTTAATACTCCTTCTTCCTCCTATTTTTCTCACAATAACAACCCTGGAGGTGGGGTGGACTGAGAGTGACCGGCCCAAATTTACCCAGCCAGCTTTCATGCCTAGAGGCATCAGCAGAGGTGGGTTGCTCCCGATTTGGCCCAGATCGGGTGAACCAGTAGTAGTGGTGGCTGGAGGCTCCACCCATCTGCCCAGATGCTTACAACCCCACATCCATGAGCAAACCGGTAGTAGAAAAATTGGCAACCTACCTCTGGGTATCAGGAATACATTATCTTCTGGTTTCTACACTAAATGCAACTGGTTTATGAAGAAGCTTTAAAATAGTATCCACTGCAAGCAGGACAAATCTTACTCAAAGTACTACGTTTGCTATAATAAAAATAACTTTCAGCCATTGCACATGATCTGTATTAATTTGCTCTGGAATGGAACTAGGATGTTGTGAATTTTCCCCTAGGCAGCAGTTGCATGTTTACGGGTTAACAAATGTTCAAATGTAATTACACTTACCAATAAAGGAGAATATCAATAAACAGCCCAACCAAAGAATCTCTAAAACCGCCCCCATCAACACTTACAGGCAAGCCACCAGAATATAAACTGACAGCAAACAGCACTCCTTACTAGCACTGATTATACTACCTACATTAATTAATGGTAATGAAATGTCTGCAAGAAAACAAGCAAGGTTAAAGAGCACCAAGGACTTTTAATTACATGCTAGAATATTAACACATTTTGCTAAATGATTTCTTTTTGTATCTTCTCATTTTATAAAGTAGTTCCAGCTGTGCTTTTCTCCTTTGAGTTTTATCCTACCAAGTAGTACAAGCAGAGCAGGAATATGTTCAGAAAGCATTGGTCCATTAAAAGGAAACAGGCTACATTTTTTTAACATAGCGGAGAGTGTATGAAATCTGACCTTACATTGGTTTATTGCTCGTAATCAAAGCCAAGTTTTTTAGCTCTCTGAATTCCCCTATAATGCTAACCATAATGTGCACCTGTCCAATGCAGACAAAACCACACCAAATGAAACATATTATGGTTTATCATTATATATGAGCCATGACTGAGGTTTAATGTGATGATTTGTCTGCAATTTTCTGAGATTTAATATTGTTATTCAAATCTAGGTTAGCCAGTAGAAAGGATGCATTTTTCAAATGTAATACTGAGAACAGCTCAAAGAACAAGGAAAAGGAATGCCTATGATGTAGAAAAGTTTCCATCTCCCTTATTAGGGACTTGTTGTTTGAGACTGTCAAATGTCTGAAAATATGTCGGGAAATCCAATAGCAATTCTGCTGCTGTTGAACTCACTCCACTGTCTAATATCTCTCACCCAAGTTCATGGAAATACTCTTGACAAATGTCAAAGGAAGCTCAAGATTGTGTGACCAATCTTCATCAGTTAGAGCAGTGGTTCCCAATGTGAGGCCAATGCCCCAGAGGGGGGGGGGGCAATTTGAACCTTGTTTAAATCAAGTTAATGGCCTTTAGGCTTCCCCCGCATGAATAGAGTTCACTTTTTGACTAAATTAAGAATTATATGTCACAGAGAGGGAGATCAGGATTTTAAAGATGCTTAGGTGGGGCATGGCCAAAAAAAGGTTGGGAACCACTGAGTTAGATGAAGAAGGGCTGCAATAGTTCTCCTAGATGTTTCACTACAGATAGTCCATGATGTACAGCCATTCATTTAGTGACCATTCAAAGTTACAACAGCACTGAAAAGAATAACTTATGACTGGTTTTCACACTAACGACCATTCTAGCATCTCCACAATCGTGATCAAAATTCAGGCGCTTGGTAACTGACATGTATTTATGACTGTTGCACTGTCCCTGAGCACCATTTGTAACCTTCCCAGCTGTCTTCCGACAAGCAAAGTCAATGGGGGAAGCCAGATTCGCTTAACAACTGCATGATTCACTTAACAACTTTAGTGATTTGCATAACTGTGGCCAAAATGTCATAAAATGGGACACTTGCTTAGCAATGGAAATTTTGGGCTCAATTATAATTGTAAGTTGAGGATGACCTATATAACATCATTGTACCATTTTAAAGTATTCACCTGGGGTTCATCGTATATGGATTGAGGCATTCTACGAAGATGGTTCTGGTCTTTTCTAGAAGAAGATAGAATTAGGCAGACTGATTTTCCACCTTGTGACTTGTGGAACACTATGGCATTCAGGCCAATCCCCATGCTTTTCAATAACTTTATAAAATGTCTGGGAAATATTATAAGGGGACTTTTGTTGCTATGCAACTCTCATGCGGACAAAAACCATGTTCTGCCTCTAGTTTTCAGGTGCCAATTCCAGAGACCTGTGGAGGTTATTTTTGTTTTGTTTTGTTTTTGGAACAAGGAAGTTTGGAGATTGAATACAAAACAAGTTGACATTTAATGTAGAAAAAAGGTAATGTATTATGGAGATTAAAAAAAAAACATCTTAGATAGACTTACACTGCTTATGATCAATAAAGTTTGCCATTTTGGGGTTCCCCTGAATTTATCACTATCTGTGAAGGCACAAATGAACCTAAGGGGATGCAATGTGCATTTGTGTTCCCATTGCTAGCATAGTCTTTGCTGGCATAGTCTTTTTTGCATGAGGGCTTAAATGTACTATGTCAACCTCAGCAAATGTCTATCCAAGCACAGAGGTAGCCTGTAAGCAGACTTTCCTGGTTCACTTCAAAAGTGATTTTAGCATTCTGTGATGGCCTTATAGAGCATATGGCTTCTCTGCTGTTCTTTTAATTTCATTCAACCAACCATTAAGCTTCTCTTGGTTGCTGCATGGGGCTGCTGCCTTGGCCTTTCATCTGGTTGCTGTCCTTCACGACTCTTTTGTGGGTGCCTTAGGAGAGAAACACATCCACATAAAGCCTGAAGCCCATTAAACTTCACAAGGTGGGATTCCCATATTGTCTGAATCCCTTCTTTACCTCTATTAGATTGTGCTCGATGGCACCAGTTTTCTAGTTCCTATCCATACTTGTAACCAGTGTATGACCAGGGCATATAGATATGGTTCACCATGACCAAATGGTATCTTTTTCTTCCTTTTTCACAAATTTATATACAGTAAATGCAGTGAAAGAGTGCCACTTTATTTCCCCTGTGAGATTCATACAGCGGTTGTGGCTGCTTCTGCCAGCAGCATTCCCTTGTACCATTAATCCTTACATGATGTATAAGTAATCCTCAACTATTGGTTTAGTGATCATTGTAAATTACAACAGTGCTGAAAAAAAGTGACTTATGAACCATTTTTCACACTTATTACCATTGCAGCATCCCCATGGTCACAAGATCAATATTAAAATACTTAGCAACTGGCTCAGTTTCAGGTCCCAGACCATGTGATCGCTTTTTGCAACCTTCTAACCAGCAAAGTTAATGAGGAATCCAGATTCACTTACCAACCCTGTTACTAACTTAACAACTGCAGTGATTCCCTTAACAACTGTGGCAAGAAAGGTCATAAATGGGGAAAAACTCACTTAACAAGTCTTCACAGCAACATACATTTTAGACTCAATTATGGTTGTCACTGGAGAAGAGTATAATGCTGGGAAAGATTGAGGGCAAAAGAAGAAGGGGATGACAGAGAATAAGGTGGCTGGATGGAATCACCGAAGCAGTAGGTGTGAATTTAAATGGACTCCAGAGGATGGTAGAGGACAGGAAGGCCTGGAAGAACTTTGTCCTTGAAGTTACGATGGATCGGACTTCACAACTAACAATAATGGTTGTAAGTCAAGGACTATCTGTAAATTCTATCAGTGTCTTTCTTAGATGCAACATTTTTCTTCATTCTGTTCCTGCTGCTGTTATGGACACTGCTTATTCAGACAAAACATTTCAATGAAATGTTTGCAGTTAAAAGCCAAAGTTGCTTTTGTGGCAAAGACAATATTTCATCACTTACTGCTGCATTAGCTCATACATAGCACTATACATGTGTCCTCTTCTAAGCCATTCAACCCAAGTACTATTCAAGTCAATATTGTAACATGCCCAGACTCAAGTTTCAGTTTTCCTATTTTTAAGGATAATTGAAATTTCAGCCAACAAAGAATGATCTATTGGTTTTTACCCAAATCCAGCTGCAACACTGAAGAATCCTCTTACTCTTTGCGTTAATTTGTTCAGAATCTCTTAAGATTTGGTTAAGCTCTGCCACTGATTTCCTTCCCCATTTGGGTTCCTCAATTAATGGTAACATCTACATTAGGATTATGCCGCAGTGAAAAGGAACCGAAGGACTGGAGCATATTTTTTGTTACTTCTGCTTTAGGTAATTATATCCATACCCCGTTTATGCCAATGACTAATAAGCAAAACCAAAGCCTGCTGATTTATTTATAAGGGCATTTAAAGTAACAGCTTAACAGTGGCACAAGATTTTTTTTATCAGTCATTTATCGTAAATGTTTATAGTGCTGTAGGAAGCAATAAAAATATTATATTACTCACTGCCCATTTTTATGCGATGATGATTTTCTTATTGTCAGCTTCATAAATGTAAAATGATGTGACAGGGAGAACTTTTTATTATCAAGTTGTATTCAGTTCTCATATTAGCATATTTGGTCTTTTATCCACATTCATATATTCAAAAATACGAAATTACAGAGGATCTCCCCTCCCCTAAACTACCCCATATTTTTCATTTCAACCTGTTTTTATGAAATATTATCTATTTACTTAATACTCCAAAATAAATGATCTGTTTATTTATTGACTAATTATCTCCTACATAGGGTAATTTATTCATATATATACTCTGTGTGTGTGTGTGTGTGTGTGTGTGTGTATGTATTTATGTATGTATGTATATGTATATGTATATATATGTATACACACACAACATACATACATACATACATACATACATACATACATACATACATACATACCGTATAATCTTACATGGGAAAAGACCCGAATACAACAAGACCAACATACCTACACCCATGAAAATCTATGAATAGATTATGTGTGTGTGTGTGTGTAGAGTTTACACACATAAACTCTAAAGTACATCTTAACGCATCCAATGAGATTTACTTTAACATATGAATCAAATAATACAGCACAAAATTTACTATAATGGGGGAATCGACATTTTTAACCAAAACAACCCTCTCTTTTCCCCCCAGACCTATAAATCTTTATGTTCTATGTTATGGGCAAATCAAAGTACATATAATCACAAAATAGAAAATCTTCCTGCAGAATTTCTCATTGTCTAGCAAATACAACTTTTGCCAAGAATATCGATATGAAACACACTTAGTATATTACAAATTTCTAGTCTCTCTTTCAACATAATATATTCTTCATGTGTCTTAAAAATGGACTCTGCTATTCAGAATT